CCCCAAAACCCCAAAACCCCAAAACCCCTAATTAAAAATGAAAAATTGAAAATAAAGTCTTAGACTCTAAAACTGCCTTCTATGTTTTTTATTATTTCTACCTTTCTTCCCTGGTCTTTCGATTTCCCAAGCATCTTTGGCCCAGTTTTGAGCGAAAGTTTCTCCTTTATTCCTCCAATTCCCTTGGTTGAATTTTTTGTTCTTGCTCTTTATTTTTCTTATTATGTTCTGTCCCTGGTAGCCTTCATGAGAGTCTTTTGGAATTTGGAATTTGTTGTTTTCTCGTTGTAGTTTCCCTTTTTGGACTTTTCTGATTCTAAACATAAGTTTTGAGGTATTATTAGTGGTTTAGTATCTTGGAATATCATCTTCATCATCAAGAAGAATTACCTCTGTTGGAGTAGGCTATAGGTAAAGTATTGAAGCTTACTTTAGAATGTGCAAATTTATCAGAATGTGATGAATAATCCTCTATGTCTGAGATTGAGGAATAATCTATATAGCCATTGTTAGAGTTCAAATAATATGACTCAGATTTACCCTTCGAATAGTTATTCTGCTTCTTTTGTTGATTATATTTTTATTCTTGATTTCTTTTTAATCATGCTCTTTTCTGTTTTGTAGTAGTATTGAAAACAAACCAATGTTCGGTTTTTATTTCGCCGTTTATTACTTGGGTTATAACGCAGTTAGACCACTGGCCTTTAGTTGAGGTTATGAAGTAGTCTCCGCTTCCTTTGTGAACTTTAGCGTGTTTATAATCTTCCTCCAGATTTTCGACTTCTATACAAAGTTATAGCACTTTGATGAAACTTATAACCATTCGAATATATCTCAAGAAGAAAAGCATGGAATGACTAAGAGCTAGAGTATTTATTTTGAGTGGGTAAATCTCCATTGAAGAATTCATCCTTTTTGTGAAAGAACAAATACTTTTGCTCTGCACAGTAAACTCCAACAACTTGGTTACTTGCAGAAATCTGACAGTCTTTGGGTGCTCCATTAACAAAATATGAAGAATTTGCCTGATTCGTGACCATAGTATCCATATAAAAGCAATACCACTACTTATACTTGCTCCAATCGCTAAAAACAGTAACAAATACATTATAATTTTATAACCTGCCCTTCACTTAAATTCTGTCCTCTTCTCTATACCTGCTCCACCCAAATTCCCCTTTGTTTTCTTCATCTTCTCTTCATTGCCAACTTAAGTTTAAACCATATGATCCCTCTGTTTGCGGTCTTAAGGTTTTAGCTGATTTTAGTGCCTAAGTGGAGTTTTAAGGAAAAGGGAAGAATGAGATTAAGGGGTGACTGGAGGGGTTTTAGGAGAGAGAAGAGGAGATTTGAGGATATTTTGTTGTGGTTAAGGGAAGTTATGGGTATGAGGGATCGATTCTGCTTTGGTTAATTGGGATTGTATACATTTCTCATGGCTTTATTCGGATATTCAAATCAAATAGTTTTTACTGGGGTTTTGGGGTTTTGGGGTTTTGGGGTTTTGGGGTTTTGGGG